GTGAGGAATCGTCCCGACATAGCATATTTTCTCAAAAGTAGTTCACAAACTAATATCTATATGTCAAAAAAAGTGGCTATACCCTTCCGATGTATTCTTATTTCACCCTTCTGCTTTTTAAAGTAGGTTGTTCATTCGTTTGTGATGGGGGCTGGTATTCATTCTACTTTGCGCATCACTGTTCGTGAGCATTACTATTTTAACACGTTAACTGATGCTGGTAAAAATGGGTCACTGTACCTGAACATTACTATCTTAACACGTTAACTACAGCTGATGATAAAGATGGGTCACTCTTTATAAGCATTATTATTTTAACACTTTAAGTGATGCTGGTAATAATGGGCCACTGTTCACGAACATTACTATGTTAAAACATTAACTGTTGCTGGTAAAGATGGGTCACTGTTCCTGAACATTACTATTTTAACACGTTAACTGCTACTGGTAAAGATGGGTCACTGTTCCTGAACATTACTGGGAATTAGTGAAAGCCAGCATGATGTGTGTTCTAGCCTTGTCGTATTAGGCAAACAGACATGTTCGACCAAAATCACTAATTACGTAATATATTTCTTATTAGAAATTCATATCCATAAAATGTGTAGTGGATGTAACAACTTATCATTTCAGTACCCATTATGGTGCCTTTGATTCAATGATTACACAGATAATTGGTTTTAACTCACCACCTCCAGCGAAACAAGGTAAATAGTTGAGTGAACGTATTGGTCGTAGGCTAAAGAGAAGGATATTAACACTATTATATCACGATTAATTTAACTCATTTAGCAGACATTTCTTTGTAAATTTATGATAAATATTTAAGTTAATATCGTGTTACTCTAAAAAAGAAGTAATTCGATTCGGATCTAAATTACCATTTTTTTGCTTGAGTTATCATGCACAAATTACCAATTAATAGATAACTGCAGGAACTGAGGGATGGGGGGGGGGGGTAGACTAAGAAGAAGGACTATTTTTCAAAGTTTTTTCAGGAGATTTGTTTTTTCCTACTCAAGAAAATAATGGGAAAAAGCTATGCGTCTTGAAAAGATGACCATTTGACAATTGCACGTGTATTTAAGTATTGAGTACTAATGCTCTATGCGTACATAAACATTATGTTTTGGGCTCTATGACAATACACTATGAATTTCACATTGTCAGTATAACTTTCACTCATCTGGAAAGTATTTTACAATGAACTTTATATTATTTTTCAACCCACTGAACTCCCCAAAAAATTTATTTGCAAGAGGCTATGATTGAACAACCAGAATCAAGTAAGCGAATTTTTATGATAAGC